GTCCAAAGAAAAGTAGTCATAAAAGCAAAATAGTTGACCCTGAGTTTATTCATCGTTAATCCTATGAAAACGAAGCTCCTGAATCTTTGGATACTCTAAATCTTATGACCATTTTTGGATTGTCTTTTCATTGTTGCCACTTGCTACAGAGAGAGAGAGGGATGGAGATCGACAAAGCGATCGGAGAAAGTGATGATAAGAGGTTGAAGACAAAGTACAATAACGCCATCTTCGTCATGAAAAGAGCTCTTTCTCTCTACTCGTCAGCTCTCTCTCTCTCTCTTATTTCTTTACTTCATTAAAGTCTTGATCTTTTGTCTTTCAAACTCTGACCAAAGAAACTTGCACTTAGATTGGTTATTTTGAATGTCATTTATAATTTGAGAATTTAAACTGATTGTACGCTTTGTGAAAGTTGAACGCTAATGAATCTTTGCTGGAGTTATATTAAAGCAAAACTAAACTATGTCTTTATCATTCGATGGGATTTGACAAGACATTAGCAGTTACAATGTTTTTATTAAATCCAATTCGTAAACGTTTTGTTCTGTTTGAAAATTAATTATGCTTTTCTGTCCATTTCATGTTTGACCTGTGTGTGTCATTTCGTATTAGGTGATCATTAACTGCAAATCTACTTTTCTGATTCTTGAAACTATATAACTTGTGCAGTAGGTCGCCTTTAGTTTCAATGGAGGAAAAGATTCGACTGTAAGTTACAACTGTTTTGATCTTTTCTTGTATTTTACTTAGTAGTAATATAGTGTGTGACTCTCATCGTGATTATAGGTGTTACTGCACCTTCTTAGAGCCGGCTATTTTTTGCATAAGAAAGACCTGACTTCTTCTAATGGAGGCCTATCAAGTTTTCCAGTCCAGACCATATACTTCGAGAGTCCTTCTGCATTCACTGAAATCAATGCATTTACATATGATGCAGCTCAAACGTAAGAAAAATGTTCGGATATGCTCCCATAATGATTTTTTTTCTTCTGCTGGTTGGTTGACTAATCATCTTATGCTATATTTGGCAGCTACGATCTGCAACTTGATATCATTCGCCAGGATTTCAAATCAGGGTTGGAGGCATTGCTAAAAGCTAACCCTATTAGAGAAATATTTCTTGGTGTCCGAATTGGTGATCCTACTGCGGTTAGCTTCACCTTCAAATCTCTCAAGATTCATATGAAAATATTTTGTAGAGCTTGTGAAAAAGTTGTTCATTGCTTCTCTTTGATTGTTTCCAGGTTGGTCAAGAGCAATTCTCTCCTAGTTCCCTTGGATGGCCTCCCTTGATGAGGGTGAATCCTATTTTGGATTGGTCTTATAGGTATCCTTTTTTCTCTTTCATCATATCTTCTTATTACTTTATCTGTTTGTTGCTCGTTCTACTAAATCTACTTGGATACGTCTGCCCATCATGATCACAGTTTTCCTGATATATATGTATAATAAGGGTAGTGATTAAAACCCCCAACTATTAAACTTTCAACTAAAAATTTTATGTTTTCAAACCTCCAACTATTAAACCGTTAATGCCGTTAACCTTCCGTTATCAAAATCGTTTTTTCTTAACAGAGACCCGTTAAATCGAAACACCGCGTTTCATGTCATTTTAAAAACGACAGAAGGTTCTTACTATCAATATATATTTTAGTGATTTAAACCTCCAACTATTTTTAAATCGGATAGAAAACCCCCAACATAGAATTTTATATTTTTAAACCCTCAACTATTAAATCTTTATTGCTTTTAACCTTCTGTAAACGAAGTCATATTTTCTGAATGAGAAACCGTTAAATTGAAACACAGAGTTTCATGTTCATATAAACGATAGAAAATGTTTAAACCCCCTATATCAATGGGCAATGACAATCACAATTCATCCTTAAATAAAAAATTAAATTTCGTTTTCCTTTTCATCGAAGGTGAGGTAAGTCCAAAAATTCTATTGTTTCTAATTTTAGGCTATGATTGTATGGCACTTCTGACGATATATTTTAAGTGTAAAACATATTTACTTTGACTCCAGCTAATATTTAGCCAATCAGGTGAAAAATTTTAACTTGCGTTTTCGCTAGTTACTGTTGAAATGTAGTAAATTGTTTCATTTTTCTCTCTTGGTTTATGCAGAGAAATATGTGTTGCGCTGGCTTTTGTATTGTTTTCCACTTTTTATTTTCTTCTGTCTTTCACCTATTTATTGTACTCTATTTTATCTTAATGGCCCATCGATCATTGCCCAAACATTCCGAAATTGACGCTCAAAGAGCCATCATCTCGAGGGGCGTATTATGGACAAAGGTCCCACATCGTTGTTGGAAGGGATTATAAGCAATATATAAGATATATGGGCCACTCCACTTATTACCAATCGATTTTAGATTGGAAGCCCATCTATCTTAACATGGTATCAGAGTCCATGATCCACAAAGTCCAACCCGATCCTTATCGATCCAGCCCAAATTCGGCCCATCGTTCTTTGCCCGAACATTCCGAGATTGACGCCAAAGAGCCATCATCTCGAGGGGACGTATTAGGGACAAAGGTCTCACATCAGAAGTTGCAAGAGATTATATCTAGTATATAAGATAGATGGGCCACTCCACTTATCACCAATTGGTTTTAGGTTGGAAGACCATCTACCTTAACAGTACGCAATCAACCCTAATTATTTCTCTCATATTCATTTTTTATTTGAGGATGAATTGTGATTATCATTACTCATTGATATAGGGGGTTTAAACATTTCATGCTGTTTATATGATTACATGAAACTCTGTGTTTCAATTTAAGGTTTCTCGTTCAGAAAATATGACGTTGTTTACAGATGGTTAAAAACATTAAAGGTTTAATAGTTGAGGGTTTAAAAATATAAAAAAATTTGTTAGGGGTTTTCTATCCGATTTAAAAATAGTTGGAGGTTTAAATCACTAAAATATATATTGATAGTAAGAACCTTATGTCGTTTTGAAATTACATGAAACGCGGTGTTTCGATTTAACGGGTCTCCGGTAAGAAAAAACGATTTTGATAATGGAAGGTTAATGGCATTAACGGTTTAATAGTTGGAGGTTTAAAAACATAAAATTTTAGTTCGAGGTTTTTTATCCGATTTAAAAATAGTTGGAGGTTTAAATTACTAAAACCCCCTATAATAATGAAGTTTATTGATCTATCAACTTTTCACTTGTGGATCACTGCAACTTGGTACCTTATTCTCATCTTTTTAGTTTTTTTTTTCCCTTTTGCAGAGATGTTTGGGCATTTCTCCGTACTTGCAAGGTTAAGTATTGCAGTCTTTATGACCAGGGGTACACGTTCTCATTTTTCTTTAAAATGTGTTCTCTCACAATTCGTCTTATATTGTTTCTCATCTTTGACTATACAGATACACATCGATTGGGAGTATTCATGATACTGTCCCCAACGCGTTATTGTCTGTTAACGACACTAGTAGTAAAGAGAAATTCAAACCTGCTTATTTGCTTTTTGATGGGAGGTTAGAGAGGGAATGCAGAGTCAAGAAAAATACTTCAATCAAGAATGCCGTTGATAGTGATTCACAAAAACACCAGGTGCTTTTGGCCTCAATCATTGCTGTTGGCGATGAGATCCTGTAAGTCATTTAATTCTTATTATATATGACAATGGATTTAGGCTGATTACATGTTGCAAAGGGTCATGCTTATTCTACTAGTTGCAACGAAATTTCTTTCAACCCATTTATCTTATCCCATAGCTCAGGTCTGGCACTGTTGAAGACCAATTAGGACTGTATCTGTGTAAAATGCTGACTTCTGTTGGTTGGTCGGTGCAGCAAACTTCTGTTATTCAAAATGATGTAAGTGAGACTTACTCATTGACTTTGTTGTATCAACCAAAGAAAGTAAATCGTTTCTTCTCCGTGTTTATTTAAACAGATTGATTCTGTATCAGAGGAAGTTGACCGCCAAAGGTCTATCTGTGATATGGTAAGTTCGTTAAACACATGAAAAATAAAGAGAGGTTTTGTCTTGGAAAAGTCGAAACTGACACATATTTTCTCTGATTGATGCTTTTGGAGGTATTTATATATGGAGGAGTTGGTCCTTTGCATTCAGATGTTACTCTGGCTGGTGTTGCCAAGGCCTTTGGGGTTCGCCTGGTAAGTAGTATGTCTTTCATTTTTAACACATGCTCGTGGTTAAGATAGTTTGATAATTGCCATAAACATCTCAACTGTATTTGAATGTCAATAAGTGAGAACAGTCAGTCACCACTCAGTTGTAGTGTAAGAAGCTAATAAAATAGGTTTACTCAGGCACCTGATGAAGAGTTTGAGGAGTACCTTAGGCATCTTATCAGCGAGCAGTGCACAGGTGACATGAATGAAGTGAGTTCAGTATTGAGAATCAAAACTTTTTAATGGATTTTATTAATATATTCAAGGCAAAATAGCTAAAACTTATATAGCATCAGCGAGAATCGCTTTGATATGTTTTTATCTATACATTGTTGTTTCGTATATGGTTTCTCACCAAGTTGATTGCCTTTGGTAATTTTTAGATGGCTCAGTTACCGGAAGGAATTACTGAACTACTGCATCATGAAAAGCTTTCGGTGCCATTGGTAGGTGCCTCTCACAACGCCACTTGAAGTTCCAAATTTTTTTCAGTACACTGATAAATTTTGTGTAGATAAAATGCCGCAATGTGATTGTTCTTGCTGCTACAAACACTGGAGGAGCTCGAGAAGGAGTTGGAATGTCTGACCGAGCTAACTAAATTGGGTGGAAGTACATCACTCAATGAGCTATACGGGTCAAGGCGCTTGATGACATCTTTGACAGATGTATGTTTTACTTTCCATGATGGCCTTTGCTTTTCATGCAAGAATCTCTGTGTAACCAATACTCATAGTTCCCAAATAGATCCATGATGATATGTGCAGTCACTTACATAAAGTTTTACTACTTTCTTTTCAGGATGACTGACTTTTGGATTTTTTTTTTTCTTGCAATGCAGGTTGAAGTTGCAGAACCTTTGACCAAACTTGGTCTCGAGTTCCCCGACATCTACCTTGGTATTCATACAATCTTTTAACTTTAAGAGCATCTTAAGTCTTTGTATGTTGTTCAAAAAAAAAGGAAAAAAAGTCTCTGTATTTTTTTTTAACCTCAATCTTCTTCTCCAGGGTGTTACCGGAAATCTAGACAGGGTCCTATCATCATCTGCTTGAAAGGAAAGGTACAAACACGCAACTTCTCGTTCCATTTCTTCCCTCATTTTTTTTTAACAAGTTTCATGACTCTCCTTTATATATATTGGTTCTACAGGACAATGCACGGATTGATTTAGCCATACAGGCTTTATCCAAGAGATTCAAGGAAGGTGTATTCGTAGACATGAAATAGATACATGTTTAGTTGCCCGTAGAAAGGCGGCTTCAATAGTCACTTGAGTGGGGCTTCTATGTACTGTGATGTCACAGACTCTGAGAGGAACAAACCAGCGAGAATAGGTTCATAGTTTATAACACTTTTTAAAGAATGATAATTACTGCTTTTTTATACGCTTGAAACAGTTAAGAATGATGATGCTTATGTTTGCATTCTAATAAGAGACTCGAGATTTCAGAAACTTGGACCCTAACTCTGTTTGGTTATACAAGGCACAAATATATATATATATATATATATTTAATATTATTCTACCTGAAACTGTAATCTTTGTACATAGTAGTCTACCCCTAAGGCTTGAGAACAGAGCAAAACACCATCTTATACATGCTCTGCTTTTTCCCCTGTTAAACCGAAGTAATAGATTAACTGAGCCTTTTGAACCGGAATATTGTTACACTAATGGATATGAGTAACTATATAAGTCGAGCTTCGGTCCAAGGAGCTCCTATGGTCACAGAAGATAGGATCTGCAAGAGGATGGGTAGGTATGAAGAACCTAGAGGAAGGTTCCACATTGCGTCTCACCAATATGTTCAACCCTTGTGCCTCTCTTTCATCACATTAGGTTATCTTATCACTCTGCCTCCATTGGATACTAGCGTCGATTTGTAATGTTGCGTGTGAAGGAGAAGAGTTTAGGAATGTACTTTTGTCTTAAGGGGCTTTGCCACGTCTGTCTAGCACGTATGATTTTTTCCCGACAAGGGTTCAACTGTTAGAACAACTGCATGGGCATTGTCAATTAACATGTGAAAATGTCTGGCCCTTGTTTTATCACTACTGTTTTTGATCACAAATCCATTGCAATAGAGTAATCTCACAAAGTATGCATTAAAATAGAGACCTGAATCAAAAGCAGCTTGTCAGAGTGGATGGGAAAGTTGACTCAATTCTCCGAAACTTGAAGAAAACGTTAGCAAAAAGTTTTATCTCTCTTGCAGCAGAAGTGCTTAGGTTGAGAGTGATAGAGAGAGGAGAAAGATTGCTTTAAAGGGAGAGGTTGGGTGGGTGAGGATTGAAAATGAAGAATGAAACTGAAAAAGGGTTTAATGTCATCTGTCAAAAACTGTGAAGAAGTGTTATTCAAGAAATACGAGATTTCTAATCATACTACTCGTTATGATTTATGTATGCCTAACATCATGTGAAGCAAGAACAAAAAAAGCTCAAAAGAATATTGGAGAAGGCTAGTGGTTATTTGATTGTTGGAGCTTTTTGCATTGCGCAAAGTGTGATACTGTGGGATCTTGCTCAATCTTATGTGGCCACGGGGTTCCCCTCTTGTTTGACTGATCATTTTGTGTAAGGGCTTGTAGGTTTATCTTTTGGTGTTGCTCTTGATTGAATTTGATCATAGGTTGATGTTTGTTTGATGTGTAGCATTGTATCATGTTATATTGCATGATTGTTCCTCTGGAATGAAATGGTATTATTCAGTGAAAAAAAAAAGAGATTGACAAATGGATTTAGCTAAATCTATAACCATTTCTACTAACCAAAACAACAAGACTCCAGCCCCAGCAAAGAAGTACTCTGCTGCCTGAGATGATGGTGGAGCCATCTGAGTGCTTACTGGCTTTATGAGCATGGCTTCTTCTCCAATTAAAAAACTAGCCTCTGCTCCGGTCATGGTGAGTCCAAATACGATCATAGTGGCTACGAAAATGCACACAACCAGCTGCACAGACCATATGTTATATTAATATTATCTCAGCCATCAAACACTCCTTGCTCAACATGTGCATTGTTGAAGTTGAACAGATCTCTTCTTCTTGAGGAGGAGGAGTTAAGGACCCATTTGCTGCTGTCAGAGAATCTCCATGCGTCTTCTTGTGCTCTCAATTTGTATACCTAACAAAAGGTCTGGCTTGTCTGTGCAGCCAACACACCCACGGCATGCAAAAATCTCTACGTCCTTAACCATAGATTCAGAAGCTAGTCCCCATAAACCGTTTCCTTTAATGGGACTGAAAACACATCAAACTCAACTGTATCCTCGCAATCCCACAATGTTTCTTCCTACTCCAGTATGGCTGGTCTGTGTTTTCTGCATTGACAACATGTTTTCACTCTTTTATTTGCTCCAACTGTAAATGTGAGAACTATTGTTTCACTTTTTCGATGAGAAACCCTGTCATCTCATAGTAATGTCCTTCGTTACCAATCTCGTTTCTGCTCATATCGTTGTGGCGTTGGCGATACAGTGTACTCCACAAGCCTAGCAAACAAATCTTCTCTCTCTTGTAACGCTACTGCCTTCTTGATAGCACAAACTTCAACAACAATCTTACCTATTGAATTCTCAGAAACAACGCCATCAAATGAAACAGCATAAATTGTCGAAACTGTAACATGTTTAAACCTTCTCTCCAACAACTAATTTCTGATGACATCTCAGCATTTTTTCACTATCTTCATGTTCCATGTGATAAAATCTTTCAGAGAGCCATTGCAGTAGAACTTCAAGTTCATCATGTACTAGAATATTGATATGTTGCATATTTACTTACTCTTAGCCTTGCATTCTTACTTATATTGAGCATATAGTTTAAATTTAGGCACCTCTAGGTTGCATATTGCATACATTTGTCTTTATCAGATCATGGAGCATGCTATGGAGTCTCTGGAGGTGTTTGGGGTCGATTACATGTCAAAAGAAGGTGCAAAGGTGTCATTTGGCGAGCCGGAGCAACCACAGCGGAGTCAAGAGGTCGCTGCAAGGAGAACCAGCCGGAGCGGGGTCGTGCAGCGGGTCCGGGGGGTCGCTCCACGTCCACAGCGGAGGTTCGGCAGCAGACGCAAGGGGGTCGCTCGCCTTTGAAGAAGAAAAGAGAGAGCTCACAGAGGGCCTTGGCAGCGGGGTCCTGACCCCGCTGTGAGCTCCGGAGCGGGCTCGTGCAGCGGTGTGGTGACCCCGCTGCGCGTGTTATGTTTGACGAAAAACTTGAGTTTCAGGGACCTTTTTGCAATTTTGTTTTCTTTATTCTGAGTTGGAAAAACCTAACTTTAAGTTATTCTGTAAGCCACCATTGGGGGATTATCTTTGTTCTTGAAGAAAATACTTGAAAACCTATTGGAAAATTCATCTTTTAAGATCTTTGATCTCTTTGTTCATTGTTTTTACTTGTCTATTTCATCACCTACATGATTAAACTTGAATCTAAAATGGGTTTAAGAGTAT